TTTTTTTTTTTTTTAAATAATTTTTATAGAGAGGCATGTTTTTATTTATTTGTTTGTTTGTTTGTTTGTTTATACATGCACTGGGTACAGTCAGAAGCGCGGGAGGGTGAGAGAATTCACCAGAGCCAGAGCGGGGAGCAGAGCAGGCAGAAGGACCGAAGTACACTGCTGAGGGGAGCAGCGGGCGGCAGGAGAGGTCTGCGCGCCATGTGGGACCCTCCTCTGGTGGCCGGGGAGCAGCCGGGGATCGAACCTGCGTCGCAGAGGCCGCGGGCAGCTTCACAACCCAGCGCTCAACCGCTGCGCCACCGGGGAGGCCCTGGGCTCATTCTTGATATTTATTTTTAACACATTTTATAATCACTTGTATCAGTTTTTGCAGCCCCTCCTTTATTCCTTACTCAGTGAGTTTTGAATAGACAAAAATTCCTGAGGTTCCTTTCCCCCCTACTTTTTCCTATAGCTAAGCCACATCTCCATAATTCTATGCTTGCAGAGTGTAATTTTTACACCCAATTTTACTCTTGTAATCCTCATTTTTTTGGATTCCTTTCATTGGTAGTTTATGACATTTTTCTCTCATTCACTCTATTTCCAAACCACCTCAACATTATTTCATCTATAAATTGATATATATGTATACTTTCACTTTGCTCAATGAAAACCCAGATGATTTTTATTATGGCAGTGCCTAGAGATGTATGATATGCGATAGGATACTCTTTCAACCTACACACAGTCACTATTCACCCAAATACTTATTTAATAAAGTTTCCCTTTAAACAGCACCTATCATTCCATCTTGGCAGCAAGATATTATATATTTTATCAACTAGTCAGTTCAACTTGATAATATATCTTCTGTACCATATGTTTCCAATGCTAACAATTTAAGTGTGTGTTTTAAAAAGAGTAGCATGAGTTAAAAATGAACTCCATTTTTGCTGAATCTTGAATATTCTCCTTGCTATCCATGAAACATTCTTTAATTACTATTAGGCAATCTTGCTATAATAAGTTAAGTTCAGTAAGTCCATAGATTATAAAAATCTTCCACAACACCCCCTTTAATTTCAGCTTTATTGGGGTGTAAATGACATAAAATTTTAAACTATTTAAAGTGTATATTGTGCTTCCAACTCTTTTAGAAATACAAATGTGGTTTTTCTATTTTAAACATATTTTAGTTTCTCTGAGTATCCTAAATTCACTATACATATCCCCTATCATGAAAAATAGTTCAGTTTGTCTTGTATAGAGTTCAGTGGTATCCTAAGAATATGAATAGTCTAGTCCTAAAAGACAAATGCATTCCATGAAGCCAATTCTTAAGAGCCATTCTTTGACATGGGTTTCAGTTCTCATACCAATATAGTTCTAACCTTTATATTCTGAAAGTATTTTTTTTAGCTGAAAATGTAACAGCTATATGGACAACAAGGAGTTCAGCATTCTCTTGGTTGTCTAGAATAAAGCAGTGATTTAAAGTACCATCTTTGGAAGCACAACACTTGATATCTGTCAGATTCTACCATTTGCCACCGTTTTCTAGTTGTGCAATCTTAGGAAATTTACTTACCATTATTGAATGTCAGTTTTCTTATCTGCAAAATACAGCTAATCACAACAACTGTATATTAATATTGCAAGTATTCAGTATAACCATGGATGTCAAGTTCATAACACAGTGATTGTTGAGTTTTCATCAATGTTAAGTCAAAGATCTCCTGTTTGATCTTATTCTTGATTACCTAGCTTTCATCACCCAATTAAATATTAATCCTTCAAATGTGTTTGACAACATTTTAATCAAAGACAGATGATGGATTTTGTACATTTCTCTATTTTGATGGTAGAGAAAATATTAGAATCATAAGAAGGCCATTATTAGGAGTATTTGGTGGGGTCCAAAGAATAGTAACAGGCAGCTGAATAAACCTTCTGTGGAAAGCAGGACTAACTTTCCCTACTTTTCAATTTTGGTCACATTGGATGCTTCATTTGTGAAAAAAAAAAGATGTTTTGTGAATTGATGATTTTGGTAATAGAAAAATTGAGTGGATATGAATTTCATGGAGGAAAGATGATATGAGAAGCCAATGTATTAATTTTCAAATCTTGGCAAGGAGCTTTTATTATGATGGTATTGATGAACTGAATATTTCTAACTGGAGAGTAATAGGTTAAACTGTTCCTAATTATGGCCTAACCAATATTCTTCCTCTTTCTATTCTTCTCACTGGACATGTGAGGATAATATTTAACTTTTTAAATAAAGTATTTAAGGGCTTAAGAATGAAAGAGTGGGATAATAGGATGAGAAACAGAAATAGAAGATCCCTTGAGAATTGCTTTATTGTGATGCAACCATAGAATACTGATGACTTTGGGGAAGCAATGCAGATTATTGAAAATAAATATATACCTATACTTGTTTCCTTTGATGATTTCTGTCAGTCTCATTTATTTAGCATGGCATGTGAGACTAGGGCAAAGATAAATAATGAAAATCATTATTAAGATAAATTAACTGGATTCTGGTAATTTTTTGTTTAAGAAACAGTAGGGATAATTGTGGTTTTTCAGTTGATAGCTTTGGATGATGAAGCTTTAATGGGAGGATAAATAATCTGCATGACTCAAAAAATGGTCCAAGTTTTAATATTGTTCTTTTTGTCTTTTGTTTGATGAACCATTTGTAATTTTAAAAAGCTACCTGGGAGGACAAATGTAATAATGTCTTGAACCCCTAGGCAGAAAAAGCACCGTATAATTATATCTTTAAAATATTATTACCACAGTCTGTCCTGAAATTTTTGTTACTTACAGGGAAATCATTTTGTAGGTGAATCCCCCTGGCTACAGTGCTTCTTTCCCTTCTGTCTAGAAATGTTTTAAATGAGCTGAATATGGTCTCTCAGCAAAGCAGAGTGTCTTCCTTTGGGAAGCAGCTGGATTAGGGGCACTTGACCTTTCTGAGTTGGGTATACTGAAATTGCCAATAAAGATCTTAAAGAAAGGAAAGTGAACTGACTGGAAATTCTGTCACTTAACAACTTACAGACCTTTGTTCAATGAATTTGCTCCAATTAACGTGGTCAAATTTTAGAATCTAAAATGAGGATCATTTCTTGTTGAAATGAATATATTTAAGATTAGGAGCCTGATAACAATTGTGATTCTTGGGAGATAATGTATTCTTGAATAATGTATTCATGATTTCAATAAATATTAATTGAAGGTACTAATTACAGTAGTAACCAAACCAGAGGTTATAAGTAGTAAGACAGATTCTAGTCAGATGCAGTGTTATAATCACTTCATGGGTATGGAGTATTGTGAGCATATACAGCAGATACCGTGACTTCACTGGGAGAGGAATGGTCATTAGAGAAGGCTTTCCTGAAGGATATACATAGAAAGACATCAATGTGATCTCATTGTTTTTAAGCATAAAGCATTTTGCTAACTAATTATGTTATTCTTTGCTCTCAAAATGCCTTCCAAATAGGTTAAATAAATGCTAAGTTATAAGACAAGGATAAGAGAAAACACTTCACTCTAGTACTCTACAATCTCCACTCTAGCTTGGGGAAAAATGTTTTAAATATGTTGTGGCATTATAAAGTATTAATTTAATTGGACCAATGGCAAACAATGAAACTTCAACTCCTACAGAATGTCATTGGGATTAGTTAGATTAATATTGTCTTCTTATATCTCTTATCATATTGTGAGTCCTAGAAAAATCAGCTGTGATATTATTTTCATCTACTGATTGAAAATAAGAATGTCAATAAGACAGCGATTTATAAACATTCTATGAAACTCTGCCCACATAAAAATAAGAAAGAAGTGGTCTAAGCAGTCCTAGTAACTGTTGTAGAATGTAGACAAAGGCTGTGTTTACAGACAGAGGTCCTTCAATGCCTGCAAATGTCTCTAGAGTAGACTGTACTTCACTTATCCTTGTGGGAAAAATTTTCCATTGGACTGGACTTTGTTCTGCAAATAATGCTGTTCATTTCTGTTTCTGTCATTCAAATATCTTCCATGAGTTCTCTTTTCCATTTTTAAAACACAGGGCGCATGAAGGATGCTATATAAAGTCAAATTCATTTTTATAATCTCTGATGACATCTTCATCCTGTAACTGCTATTCTGGGATTTTGTAGCCAAAACACAAAGAACAGCAATCAACAGCAGTGTGCAAGATGAGATTAGAATTACTGTGCCTGATCGCTGAACAGTGCAGCTTCAGGGAACACATTTTTGCCTATGACTG